ATTGCCTGCTGTGAGCACTCTAAAATTCTCTTGTCACCACCCCAGAGCCACCAGAGTTATGTGGCCTTTGTCACCACTGGAACTTGCCAGGGCACTTGCCAGGCCCCTCCACAGACCCTTGGAGCCGTGGCCCAGCAGGACGGGCTCGTGCAACCTTTTCTGGGGCTGGAAAGGGTGGAGTGAACCCCACTGGGCAGTGAGCTGGGACACGCTGTGCTGGGTCCTGGGAGAGGAATCCTCGTGGAGGGACCATGTGGGAGATCTGCCTGGAGCAGAAACCCTGCTGCTGCCACGCTCCCTCCACATGTACCCACACACCCTCCTGCTGCCACCAAACCTGGGATTTAGGACAGTCTTATGCAAATTTTTACAGTGTGTAAAAAGAGTGTATAGCTCATGCACTTGACTGTTCATTAAAGATGTTCTGGTGTGGTTCTTTAATCAGCAAGTGTGTCTTGTTGCATTGTTTGTCTGTCTTGTAGAGATCTAAAATCCCTCACCTGAAGCCGCTCCATCTCCATGTTTTGGGACTGCAGCATCCCTGCACAGCTGAGAGGGAATGGCACATCACATGGATGTTTTCTGACAGCTTCAGAGCACAGACTCCTGTGTGTGTAAAAGCAAACAAGCAGAAGACCTGAGACTTACAGAAAAATGTGGGAGAGACAAAACAGACAATAACAACTTCACAGTTTAAACTGAAAAAAATAAAAGCTTTTTTTTTCTTGCTATGCACCCCCACAAACTACATTATCTGGAACAGCCCCATCTAACAATCACACCAGCAGGTATATTTGATGTCCCCATCACAGGTTTCCTCCCCAGATTTTCAGATACTCCCATTCTTTTGAGGGAAGAATAAAGTGTGATGACATCTGTGGCTCTCTGGGGTCTCTGGGATGTGTGTGTTCATCTGCACAGATGTGTGTACACATCTGTCTATCTCTGTCCTGCTTCGCCCGCACAAGGCTTGGTGCTCTTTTGTGTGCCTTTTCCTAGGAAAAAGCCTCTGATGCCTTTTCTGCCCTGAAATGGAAACAAAGCCAAGTGCAGTTCTTGGCACGTAGCTATCCTAATGATACTGTGACACAGGGAGGAAAGCCATCCAAGAGACATCTGCTCCTTTATCACATGATGGGCTCTGCTTTTGGAATGCACAATTTGTCTGCCACAGTATCAGACACCCTTCAGTAGCTCAAAGTTAAATGGTATTTCTGAAGGGCTAATTGCAGTTTGCTTTTCTTCCTTAAAAGATGTTTCTTCTTTGGAATTTGTGTCTCTCCAGGGCCCTCATGGTTCCAATGCCTTGGATGCTGACTGGGAAGGGCACCAGGCACCCTCCACACCAGCAATGAAACTTTTCACAGGGCTCTCCAGAAGAAAGGCTCTAAGGATTGACATGAGTGTCTCTGCAGAGAAAACAGCAAGAACCACACTGTTCACAGTGCTTATTCACACATCACCTAATATTTACATCTTTAAATTATCACTCTGATGAAAACTATTGCAGACTCACAGTTACTCAGACATTAAAGAGCTGTGCTGAGGTGGGATGCCTTAAGACTCCTCAGCATTGGCTCTGAACCGTGTCACCTCCCAAATGCCACAGCCTCTGGGTAGCTGCTCTTATCTTCAGCAAGCACAGGATGGGAGGAGCTGACCTTCTCCTCAAAGCACAGACTGTGAGGCACACACAGGTCCCCAAAGCCACCACAGCTGATCCCCAGACCTGGCTGTGTGTGGCAGCGTGGAACAGATGCAGATGCTCAGGTCTAGAAACCAGGCTGCCCAGCCACAGGGGTTTGTGCCTGAACACCAGAGCCAGCCTTGCTGCTGACCTCGGGCAGGGAAGACTGCAAGCCCCTACAGCTCAGGAAGAAGCCAATTCTGACCTGGGCTGCCCCCAGGAGCAGACTGCCCAGTTCCAGTCAAAGGGGGTAGTCTGTCTGCTGGGGCAGAGCCTCTGCGTGTGTGCTGTCCCATGGGCAGCCTGTCTGCACAGCTCCATCTGGTTTGGGAAACAAAGCAGCCAGCACATCTCAGCCTCCAACAATTTCCAAGGAATTCTCTTCTTCAGGCCAAATCAAAGCAAAACACCACCACAAACACTATTTGTAAGACAAAACCATACCTGAGCTGGGATTTGAGGACTCACACCAAGCTTCCAGCAGGTGTTCCCACAAGCCAGCCCCAGGCAGGGCTTCTGGAGGCACCACCACAGTTAATGGTTACATCTCAGGAGAAGCAAAAGAGCTGTGGGGACAACCTGACTTTGGTTAAGTTTCAGAGAACTAAATCAGTTCTTCAAACTCATATAGCTTAAAAAATGTAAATTTTAGCAGTTGTTCCTGGAGGGAGCGATTTGAAGAGGGAGAATAGTCTATCACTGCTTTCACATTTCACAGTCTTGGGGTTGGGAGTGCTGGGACATCTGCTGACACTGATTCCTGTGATAAAGCAGCTGTGGGCCATGCTTCAAGGATAGGTCCTTACCTCACTTTTTGTTATTGGTTTGGTTTTAACTGGGGACAGATGAAAGAAAGAGAGGGCATGTTCACTTATTTATTTTTGGATAAACCATGAAAAAAAAAATAATGAAGAATGACTAAATCAACAAACTTTCTTTAATAAATTAATAGCAGCATCACAAAACCCTGATGTGAATGACCCAAAGAAAGTTGGGTACATGACAGTATTTAACCATTCAGAGAAATGTTCTCCCCTGCTGGCTGGGAGGAACACAGGTGCTGTAAGGCAGTCCCCTTGGCTCTTCATCCAAACAAGGGATGGACATCAGAACGGGTCCAGCTGAGGTTGGCATATTTACAGTTCTGGTGCTGAATTTTTTTAAAAATGCTTATAAAATTTCTGAAAATTCTCTGTTCAATTCTCATTATTTACATCCAAATATAGCAGGTTCCCTTTTTGCCCATACAACAGAACTGGCAAGGGTGAGACGTGAAGGCTCCTATGCAAAGACAATGCCTGTGTGAGCACTTACACTGAGCTCCAGGATGCTGTGGAAAATGAGCTGTTCACACAACTTACACATGTGCTAGAAGCTACTGTAATTCAACTTATTGCTAAATGCTTTCAAAGTCTGTGGTTGGTTCTTAAGGATATATATGTGTGTGTGTATATATATATATACACACATACACGTGTCTGGAAGAGATGTGCTATAAATTCACCCAAAGGGGAAAAAAATTTAAAACACACTGATTTTTCTGATTTTTCTGTACTGTTTGAAATAATAAAATCTGACTCAGGGTAAAGGGCAGTCACTGAAGGTGCAAGTTTGTGTCTCTGGACAGAGGCTTTCCTACAGATTACCTGACCTTTTTCAAGAGGCAAGTGGATTCCCAAGCATTCAGGCATGTGGTGGTATCTGCAGGCTGGCACATGGAGCAGCTCTGCTGCCTTCTGCAAGCAGTGAGTTGCACTCTGCACTGGGATGCCTCATCTGCCTGCAGGAAAGTAGTATGGATTTATCCCAGGAGGGGATGAAGGAGAAAAGATCTTCAACTTCAGTGCACCAGTCTGGGATCAACCCAGCAGCAGATACAACTCAAATGTTGTGTTTTAGTATTGGCCTCAGCAAGGTTGTAGCTGCACACAGCCAGTGCAACCTCAAGCACTGGCAGAATTTTCCAGTTCTTCTACAAGTTAATTTTAATGGAATAAACACAACAAGCTGAGAGTACAAGCAATTCATGTAAATAAAATGCAATTTATCCATGCCCAGTGTAAGCTTCTCTGACAATTATCTTAGCCAGAGGCTGTCAGTGATGCTAAATGCATCCATGTTAGATGGGCACTGCAGCATCTGTGTAGTAGTTAATGAAGATATAAAAACCTTATGGGTGATATCTGGCATCAGACAATACTCCACATAAGGAAATCTGCATGAGAGGCATCACCCCAGAGGCACAGTGCCAGAAAGACACAGTGCCTTGGAGGGTTTGTGTACACAGGAATGCAGAGGAAAATTAATTCAAATTATACATGGTGTGTATTAAAAGCAGATTACTTAAAATGCATTCAATCCCAATGTGGATGCTTTCATTAGAGATGTAAGTGGCGTTAATATGATATACTCTAATTTACTTTGGGAGTAAAATGGAATAAATCAAATTTAAAAGTTACTCCAGATTCATATTCCACGCAGACTAGCTCCAGGCCTGCTTCCCTGCTGTCCCTGGTCACCATTTGCTTTAGAACCATGTCACCAGCAAACGATTCCAATGCTCTGTTCAGCTCTGCCCACCCCCTCCTGAGACAGGAGCAGGGACCCTCACTTACACCTCTCTCCAGCATTCTGCAGGGAGGCACATCCTGCTCCTCACAGCTCGACCCTGGCCAGCACCACACACTGAGAACCTTCTGCTCTGTGCCCACAGCAGTGCTCTACCACCAGCACTGTGCTGGAGAATAGAAGCAAATGCTAAACCAGCTAAAGAATAACAAGATGTGAGGAGTGAGAAGAGCAGAGATTTGGGCTCTTCCAAGGCCAGAGAGCTCTCCTTCAGGAGGCCAGGGCCCCTGATCCTCCAGCAATCTGTGAAGGCAGTGATGGCCACACTGAGCACAGCCTGCTCCATCCCAGAGCTGATGGTTACCTGCAAGACCAAGGGAGGGCTTTTAATAAATCCTAGGCCTTCCATTTATTGAATGTTTGAAATAGATAACTGGGGATCGCTCTGTTTCTCATGCTTCTCCAAGTCTGAAAGTGATCCTACCCAGGACTGCAAAACCACATTCCCTACCTTTCTTAGGGGAGCCAGAGCCTCCTGAGGAATGGAAAGAAAACAGCAGGATTGGAGAGGGAGCCAGAACCTAACAAAGGTCCCTTGAAGTGCAAGATTGACCCAGTATGGCAGAAGCCACTACACATAACAGGACATGTCTGGCCAGGTGCCTGCACGGCCACTACGCTGTTTTGATATCTCTCTGCCAGGTTTCTGTAAAGTCTTTACACGGCACAAATAGGGGTGAGGATTTAAAGTATATATTTACTGTCAACTTGAAAAAGAAAGTTATACTGACCAAGTCTAATAGCATGTATTTGATATATAACTATTAACGTGCCATTCTGGACTCCAGCAAATTCCACCTGAGATAAATAATCAGCATTTTTGTTCATGCACTGGAAGAAGAATTCAAACATTTTGTCCATGACATATGCAAAGTAACTAATAGTTCTGATCTAGTATTAACAGTAAATATAGAACCTTAAACTTCACTGCAGTATATTAATATATATTATTTTAAGTACTGGACTGGAAAGACAACTCTTTTTTCTCTTTAAAAAAAAAACAAAGCTTTGTTCAGAATGCAATATTTACATTGTCCTTTGACCGACGCTTACATTTTTACACAATATATTTTGGCTACAGATACACCGTAGCAAAGGTCTGTGAGAGTCACTTTTACACACAGCTCACTCGTTCACTTACAACATTACAGCTGTTTATGGAGAGCTCTGAAGTCCCTGGTTGCATCTCAAGGCCCTCCTCAGCTTCGTCTAGTTCCATGCTATTGAAGTCATTGCCATTTCGATAACTAGTTAAAGTCAGGTCTTTCCCATATAATGCTGTTGAAGCCACATTCAGACACTGATTCTGCTGCAGTGCTGATTTTTTACCGGGCTTGTATTGGCAGCGGATGTAATTGGAGAAAGCCCTGCGGTAGGTTTTGTTGAAGAGGGTGTACACCAGGGGATTCACGCCGGAGCACACGTACCCCACCCAAACAAACACGTCAAGGAGTTCACTCAGCAGGTCTTTATCGCAGGCTTCCTTGCAAAGGACAGACATGACATTCGTGATGAAAAACGGGCACCACATGATGAGGAACAAAAAGAAGACGATGCCCAGGACCTTGGAGGCTCTTCGCTCGTTGTTGATGGATTGCATCGTTCCTTTCCGGAAAAGCACCGCCTCCTTATTTACAGGGGAGTTCAAGTGGGATGCCCCCTCGTGATTGTGAAGCATTGAGATGTTCTCTGTGTTGTTTTCCTTCTTGAGGCAGTTCACGCTGCTCCTCCTCTGCTTGGGCACCTCTCCACACATGAACACCGTGGCCTGTCTCTGCAGCACCTGCACAGTCAGGCAGTACGTGATCACCATGATGATGAGAGGGATGAAGAAAGCCATGAAGGATCCAATGAGGATGAAGTTCTCGTCGTTAAGGACGCAGGTCCCATTTACAAACACCCGGGAGTCATCCTGCAAACCAATGACCGGAATAGGCATAGATATCCCTAGAAAAATGAAACCAGAAAGGAAACTGTTACCTGGACAGATGGGGCTCCAAAGAGGCAGCAGAGATGATGCAGGTCCTGCATGCATTCAGCCCGCTGCCTAAAGCTATTTGGAAGAGAAGTTGCTGCTTCCAGGTGAAAGGGAAAACATTCAACAACACTCCTGGGAGCACAGCTCCAGGGTATGACATCCTCCTCCAGGAACAGCACCAGCTTCACTGTACTCCACAGCTGACTCAGTGAATGCAGCCTTACTCCTATTTTTCTAGCATTAATTGGAATTTGTGGGTGTGGGAAAGGCAGCCACCACCCTGCTGTGTTCCAGCTGACCACTCCATTCCTGCCAGTTTGGGGTGAGGTTTGAAATCACTGACATAGGGTAGAAAGGAGCAAATCTAAAAGAGAATTTTTTTAAAATATGAAAGCATTACAGCCATGAAGATTCAACAGCAAGATTCTTACAGTAATTAAAATAACCCTGGCAGAAAAATAGCCACTTTTGCCAGGGCATCAAAGACACATGGAAGCAAAGTTCTGGATCTGAGGGCTGCTGTAGACAATCTCAGTGCAAACAGAAAGTGGTGTCTGCAAGATGTCACTCAAATATTTTTCACGTGTACCGGGATACAAACTTCATCCCTTGATCTGTGAAGTTCAGTCCCACACCTGGACAGACCCAAAAACTTCCAGAAGCAATGACATATTGGAATTTTGGACATATTGGACATTTTGGAATACTAGAACCTGTGTGTACAGGAAAACACGTGGTGGGCCAGATCTAGTTAGAGCACCATGGGTTCATCTAGTCCCATCTTGTGTCTTTGTCAAGTACCACAAATTTAGGGCCATGGTACAAAATGGGGCAGCTGTAAGCATTATACCTTAGAAAATCCCAAAGCAAGAATTTGCATCCAGATCTTGTTTTTAAAATAACCTTTGAGAGATTTATCTTCATGATAAATCTTACAAATCCTTGATCTCATTCCTAAATCCACAATATTCAGTGGCATTCAGTTCCTCAACCTATTTGTTTTCATCTGAACAAAGTGTTTCTTACTTATTTAAATCTGCTGCCTGATAATTTCCTTTGACTCCTCTCAGTTCATCTACTATGAGAAACAGTGAATAATCACTATCTGGTCACCTTTTCCACCTTCTTAGTGATTTTATAGACCTGTTATCATCTCTCCTGTCTGACATCTCTTTTGGAGCTGTAGAATACCATTCTGTTCACTCTCTCTCATCACACCAAACTCATTCTATACCTTTGATTATCTTTTTTTATTTGTTTTAAAGTTCCTTTCTGCCTTTTTAAATAAACATAAAACCCCTGCACATCTGAGCAGCTAGAGAGCAACAGAATGAATTCTGTGCTCCCCTCTGGGCACCTGGCTGTCACAGAGCACCACTCCTCAGACACATCTGTGGTTAGCCATGCTCTCCTTGACCTCCTCCACCCAAGAAATAACCAACACTGAGGCCACTGTTGCGTCTGAATTGCTTTTTTGGAATTGCTGTGAACATCACAGGTAATAAAGCTAATCCTGTGGGACTCTGAATTTCTAAAACAGGAAGAATTACATGTTAAAGAGATTAACCAGGGCATTTTTTCCACTCCAGCTAAGTGTTTTGTAGGATTCTGGGAATTCATCTGCAATTTGTCATCACCAGAAAATTACCATTTGGCAGAAATCGTGTGACAGAATTTCTTCTGAAAATTAATGATTATAAGTGCCTTCTGTGACTGTAGCATGTGTTTTCTTAGCTCAAGTACTAGTTCCAGGATTTTCTTTTCTTTCCCTCTACATGCCAATGCTCATCAGTTCACCTTTGGCAAGGCAGCTGCCTCCTTTCTGATATGTTACCTTTTATCTTGCTGTGCCAATTTCCTGCCACCACAATAACCTTCACCCTGTAAATCCATCATTAAAGACATCATCCTAATGCCTTGGCTGCATTAAACCACAGACATTTGGGAAATGGTGCAAGTTAGACTGAGCACTCTTTACATGAAGAAGAAATCTGAATTAGGTCAATGGCATTACACTGGGATTATATTTGCATGTAAAATTTTATGCTTTAGTGCCCTCTATAACACCTGCCCTTTGAAATAAAACTCCAAAATGAATGAAAGTTCATTCATGAAGTAGTCGTCATTTAAGTTGGTGTTACTGCTTTAGCCAGGGGAAATGAGATGAGGTTTCAGGATATCTTCACACATAAACTGACATTTATGTGACACACATAAAGTACATTTGGGAAGAATAACCTAGTTCTGGGATATGATGGATATACAAATCAAGAGCACTGATGGCAGCCTAAAACTCTGCATGAGCATGAGATAGCTCAGCATTAATGACAGGGAATGAGGATTACAGCATTACAGCTGCTGTAATGGAAAAGTGTCCTCACCTCTCACATAACAAAGTGAGATTTCAAACTGAGAATACACAGAAGAAAGAGACCACTAAGTTTTTATTTGCACTTTCTTCCAGTCTGGGAAAAGTCCATCATTAACAGCAGTAGGAAGAAAGATGCCCTCAGATAAGCTGGCAACAGGCTTTGATTCAGCTGTCAGCTGGCTTCAGCACTGCTCAGGGGGCGGCACTACCCTCATCTCAAATGCCTTCTTTCACCTCACACCTCTCCTTTGAAACTCCTTCTTTAATATATGATTTATCACCAACCCACTGCACAATTGAGTCTGGAAGGGAACTAACTCTGTGCATATCTTGGGCAACAGGGACTGACTCACAGTGAGAAGTGTGAAAGGTCTCAGACAGCTCAGAGGGGCTTCCTTCATGGGGGATTCCTGCAAAATCGCTGGTGCCACAACCCCAAATGCACTAATACCTGCTTGCAGACACAGCTCACAGCCTGGCCCTTGTTTCAGCAGGGGTGCCTTGATCACCCCTAGGCATTCCCAAGGCTCCTGGATGTGGATTGTTACAGATACATATAAAATTATTGGCTTTTTGCAAATACTAAAATTAATATTATACGTATAAGGTTAGAAAAATTTTCTGTATTAATATAGTTTCTTCTATTTCTGTTATTGATGAAACTTAGAAATAGTAGTATAATATATATATATGTTAGGCTGTAACATGGTATTAAAATAAAAACTATTTTAGTTTATATAACCCAGAGACTGAAAAGATAGTCAGAAACCCCCCTGCACTCTTAGATTACTTTATCCAGATGAAGTCAGTGGTGACCAGCTCCAAGGGAAGAATTTATTGAACCTCTGTTATCAGGGAGTGTGAGACTCAATGGAGCCAAGAAGATTGATCTACTGGGGAAGGGGAGAGTTGAAGCTAAACAAAGGAACATCTAAAACTTAAGAGGAATGTTTGAATCATGTATGAGAATTTATGAATATGTAATAGGGTTCTGTTTTTAAGGGACAATCCTTTGTTAGTAAGGTGTGTTCTCTTGGCTGAATGCTGAGGCACCCAGCCATATTTACACATTTTGCTTTATTTCTATCTCCTAATTGTCTTTCTATTAAACTTTTTAAATTTTATATAAAAAAATGTGAACCTCGTTTCTCACAGGATGAACACGGATGCCTGCCTGATGAGTTCTGCTGTTTGAACAAGTACAGAGAAGGCATTCAGCTCCACTTGACTCAAGCAATCCACAGCACTAAGAATGCAGTTTTAACTGTCCATAATTTAAGGAACTGAGGTCAGTTGTCAGAGAATACCAAACTCCCCACAGCAGTGCGAGGAGGGTGAGTGTCAAATCAGGCAAGAGGCTCTGAAGCTGACTGCTGTCCACAGCCTTTTGTCAGGGCAGCTCTCTGAGCCCCAGTGCAGAGCATTTCCTGAGCTTCTCCCTGACATACTCTTCATCAATAAACATCAGGCTGACTTAGTGAGCTGAAGTCTCCAGCCCCAGAGACATTTTCCAGTTGTGTCAAACAACCCTTTCTTACTAAGGTGGCAACAAATTCCCCAGAAGAGGCTGTGCCGCTCCAAGAACTTGCCAGGTGAAAAGTGTTGCATATCACAGTGCTCTTCAGTCTTCTTGTCTGAAGTCCTCTTGGTTGAGGTCTGAGCACTCCCTGGCACAGCTGGTTTTGCCCCAGCAAGAAAAGACAACCAGCCACTACCAGCAGTAAGCCATGAACCAGGTTCCTGCTAGACTCAACACTGGAAGCTCTGGGTACCCCTTTGCCAGGCAGCAGCTTGAGCAGGACATCCCTTTACACCACAGCAGAGAAGGTGAATGTGATTTTTTTTCCTCCTCTACCCTCCTTTAGCTTCTGTTTGACAGAGCAGCAGGAAGCCACAGAGAGATGGATGCTCTGGATTACAAGTCCAAATACAAGTGTTGTCCTAAGTGCTGCCTGTCAGCTTTAAAGATGTCCCTAAGCCAGTAGAAATGTTCACCAAATGGGGCTGAGATGATACTGTGGACACAGAGTAACAGATGCTCTTCACAGATTCCAAATTAATAAAACAAAACCCAAATGACCACAAATATAGATTTATAAAATATTTACTAGAGAAAAAATTGGCTAAAAAGTCCAAAGTGACATTCACGGATACTCAGACTTAAATGAAAAATTTATTAAAAATATATATTTAAGATACATTGTAAAATATTTTTTTGTGTTTAATACCTTGTTTTCTTCAGTGAAAGCTCAGGAGACTGACAGAGATTACAGAGATTACTGAATAGCTGTGTCTTATGGTTATTTCCACTAAAAAAGGGAGTAATTTACACTCTTCTATGAGAGCACATTTTCTCCAAGGACAACTACCTAACTAAAGAAAACAGAGGCTTGTTTATGGGTTTACTCTGTCTTTCCATGTGTGGAATTCTCAGGGCTGAATACAAAAAGGGGTCACATTTTGCTGTAGCTACATGAGCTTGGGAAGGCCAGGGACCTCCTCTCCTGGTGTCAGCACTGAATTCAATGTCTGCTGTGTCCATGGGAAGAGCTCTGCTGCTGCAGGTGGCTTTGGACCTCACTGCTGCTCTCCTGATAT